TAAGCCATCTGGTTGGTTGGGTCCACTATTTGGGAAGCCTGAGGGGGAGAGACCTCTGGGGAGACCTAGACGTAGATGGGAGGATAATCTCAGGCGGGATCTATGGGAGATAGGAGTCGAAGGAAACTGGATTTTGTTGACCCAGGACAGGGTCCGGTGGAGGGCTTTCGTTAATTCGGTGATGAACCCTCGAGTTCAGTAAGCCATCTAGTTAGTTTGGTGCGCTTAGTGAATGATTTCCAACTTTTTTATGATTTTCACATTTTTTTTTAAAATTACCTTGCTGCCGACACACCGCGCCCTTTCAGTAACGTCCTGCGGATGCAGCCAGCCCTACCAACCTATGCCCGCAGGAAAGTGGCCTCCTTCAAACGCAGCCTACGCAAACTTACGCATGACCACCCTCTTCTTGTAGCCTGCTTCAGACAATGCTTTCTCCAAGCAACCTATTCCCCTGAGCAGGTCGCTGGAAGGGGTGTGGCCTGTGCTCCACGCATTCAACAATAAAAGTATTTCCATACAATTATTACCACATTGGTTTTCCACTCACCTTACTTCTTCCGCTTCTGATGCATAAATCTCCACACTCATAGCATCTGAATTTTTTTGGTACGCTCGTCTTCATGAACAATCTCATACCTTACGAGGACTGCCAACAGAATTTCCTTTCACGCATTCGTACCAATTTATTTTCTAGGATCTTATAAATTCTCCAATACACTTTCGCATTCACTTTTCCTTAATGACACTATTCCTAATTCTGCACACCAGTAATTAATAATTTATTATGCTTTAATAATAAATTAATTTTCTTGAATTTAGCGAAGTACTTCCTACCCCAGCTTAAGCACCGTGACCAGAGAGCTAGCTACCAGAGCAGCTTAGTGCTGATACCGTAACTCAGATGCAGCCTAGTCCAATCAACATACGCCTCTCAGATCTTACAAACTTGTCATCAGACCTCTCTCTTACATAACGAAATAATATCAACCGCTTCGAACTTATATATTCTACAAGAGAATTTTTACATTCATTTCACCTTAGTTGCATCTTTATTTCTGTCTCTTTATATCAGTCATATATAACACTTCATTACATTATAAATCATCTTGTATTAATTCTGTTGTAAATGTCAGCAAATAGGTTTAATTTCCATACCAAAGTTCCATGAATTACTTCAGTCATCGTCACAGAATAAAAAGAAAACCAAGTTAAATTTATGAGTGCATCACGTTTTCCAGTGCTTTCACCCTTCAGTACATGCAATTCATTAATAACTAACTAGATGGCTTACCGAACCCGAAGGTTCATCACCGAATTGACCGAAGCCCTCCACCGGACCCTGTCCTGAGCCAACAAAATCCAGTCTCCTTCAACTCCTATCTCCCATAGATCCCGCCTGAGATTATCCTCCCATCTACGTCTAGGTCTCCCCAGCGGTCTCTTCCCCTCAGGCTTCCGGACCAATACCCGGTGCACACCTCTTGTCCCATCCATGCGCGCTACATGCCCCACCCATCTCATTCTTCAGATTTTTAAGCTCATTATTATGCAGTTTTCTCCACGCCCCATCGTCTTCTCTCCTAGACTCAAATATCCTCCTCAACACCCGATTCTCAAACACCTGCAATCTGTGTTCCTACCTCAGACTATGATACCATGTTTTGCACCCATACAAAACAACGGGCAAAATTATTGTTTTGTATATTTTAATTTTCAAGTTCTTAGAAATCAGACGGGAAGACAAAATATTATGATGAAGAAAACTGTTTTCTGGATATTATCCATCGTCCAATACTAAATAAAATCAATAAAAGCCACGATGTTTCAGAGATGGGAGTCTATCTCCGTCTTCAGGTAAAACCAATCGATACAGCTAATCCCTATTTTGCACTGAGAAGTAGCAAGCATTTCCGGAATTTAATCTCCTCCTAACTTCCTCGTGAGTTATTATTCCCAGATATTTGAACTTTGTAACCCTTTCAAAGGACTTATTAGCCATTCTAAGATAATTTATTGGGGGATGATATGAATGCAATAAAGAGGAACGAAGAAATTTTACTAGAGGCTAGTAGACAGGTGGGGCTAGAAGTAAATTCAGAAAAAAACTAAGTACATGTTAGTATCTCGTCGTCAGCTTACGCCAACAGCTGATGTGTCCCATTCAATTGAAAATCCTCCGGCCTATCTTGGACTTTTCTGATGATCTTTTAGTTTTTGTGATATTTCACCGGCGAACGTGACCTGTCGGTCCTGATGTTTTGGCCCGGTTCAAAAGTTCAGGTGCCACAAATGGACTGATTTGTTCCTGTTATAGCGGATACGACGAACATGGTGCTGTGAGAATCGCGAACTGTTTAAGTGCACTCTGAAGGGAGCGCTCATGTTCTTGTAAGTTGTGGGTTTCACCTTTAATTAATTGATGTACTGTCCAATCTTTTCTCTAGTATCTGACAAACGCAAAAGATCCGCTCAATTGTTGATCTGTTTCGTCTGAACCCACACTGATGATCCACAAATTCATCAATAATTAACAGGAATTTGTACACGTAAATTTTCATTTTAATGGTCTTATATATGAGTTATATAAAACTGATATACTTCATTATGATCAATTGTATTTTTAATTCCATTGAATTTGGTGAAATAGTTCCTAAGATATTATATTACTGTAAAACTTTGTATAAAAAAACTCACCATTCTGCATACTCAAAGCAGCTTCCTCCCACACAGGACAACCGCTGCACCGCACTGGAATGGAAACGAGATAGCAAGATAATTAGTTATTGTAACAAGACGCTTTAATGCATAAAAGGAATATCAAGTTACAAGTGTGCGCATCAGCTTTTTCAGTACTTTCGGCATTCTCTACATATTAGCAATACATTATTCAACAATAATTAACAATAACAAATTTTTATTATTTTAATGGTCCCTTAAATTAAAATTAGAAATTAAATTCGTGGCATAACAGCTCCAGAGAGCCAAAGCTGGCTGCTGGCCTCACGTTCACATGCCTAAGCAGAGGTGAACGATCATCCAACGAGATCTAGGATGACGTGTGGTCACCACGACAAACCCCCAGCCATTACTAGTTTTCCTGACCAGATTACGCTACTCATTGTAGCCCCCCAATTTCCTCACGATGCTGGGTTGGCACCGGTCCCATACATTGTTTTATATCTGCCCAAATAAGTTCAACGGGGTTTAAATCGGGGCGGAAGTCTCAGCACAGTATTTTGTTTATCTGCTAAAATCTGTTCAGTCACATAACATTTGTGCTTTGACTTATTTAATTTGATTACATAGCACAATTGATCTTTCAACATGTCACAAAATGGGATGTTTCTTTCCAATAGCTAGGTTTCATTTCGTCTTCTTTGAATTAGACGTCGGTGGTTTGTCTGTCTGAGTGTTGTGATAGGAGGCATTATCAATGATATGTAAGGAGTCAAGAAAATAATTGGTATAGCACTGTTAAATAGGCAGAAAATAAAAATATAACATCTTGTCTGTGTTTGCATATTGAAACTGATTGAATAAAATAAGAAGAAGAAATACCACCATTCTCATATTATTCAAGAAACATATTTAAAGCTCTGTTGTTTGTTTATATAATGACTGTAGTTCAGACTGTAAAATGATTAATGAATAATTGATTAGAATGGATATGGAAGGAAGCAGTTGTAGCCTAATGTACGGTGCTACTAGCATTTGCCTAGATGAACTGAGGAAAACCACAAACAACCTCAATAAGTATAGCTAATCTCTGGACTAAGATTTGGGCCCTGGACCTCCTGTATTAAAGTTAATTATTATGTGTTATTACAAGCCTCCTGTCCAGTGTGTACCGGGGTCCTTTCCCAGGGGTAAAGCGTGGCCAGGGCGTGACACTGACCAGTCACCCTTGTCCATTGTGTATGTTAAGAGTGAGTAAGAGCTATACCCACTCTCCCCACCTGCTTGACATATAGTGGGACAGTTTTATTGTATTATTACAAATCTGAAGAGCTCAAGGAAGGGCAGTTTTTACTTGACAGACTCTTCAGAGTACTTTCATGGCTTCAAAACTTTCTATAATATTATATTCTACGTGACCTGTGAAGCTGGCATTCAAGTAATGTACTGACCAACCTCATTTTCATTCATTCGTGAAACAGAAGTGCTCCTTGCATGTGTCGCCACAATCCATTTTAACCTCAGCACAACATTTTCATATCACGAGAAATAGACTTTATTACTAAATATTTTTTCAAAAAATTAAAATATATGGGAATAATAGCAACAGATGGAAATTGCATGAATAACGAAATTAAGAATAGGTTAAATTTGGTAATGTTTGCTACCACGCAACAATCTTTTCGCTTCCCATCTACTACATAAAAACAAACTGTAATGTAACCTGCTGTTTGCTATGATTATGAAACAGAGGCAGAGGGTGTTTCAGGAAGAGAATATCTGAAACTAAGAGGGATGAAGTAACAGGTCAGAGAAAATTGCACGAAATGTTCCATAATTTATATTCTTCCCCAGATGTTATTAGGATGACCAAACAAAGAATGATAAGATTGGCATGGCCTATACTGTATGTGGGAGGGGGGGGGGAGCAGGAAATGTGTAAAAAAACTTTGGTTGGTAAGCCTGAATAAAAGTAACCAATCAAAAGACTGACGCATAGATAAGATAATAATATTAGATGGCTCTTAAAGGGAGGGATCTGGCTTAAGATGGGAACCAATGGAAGGCTATTATTCTAAACATGATAATGAACCTGAAGGTTCCACAATAGGCAGGGAATTTCTTGTATACATAAATGATTATAAGCTTCTTGTGAAGGATCCTGCTACATAGAGTAAATCAGTTAGTTATTTCTTAATGTTTATTGTGAACTGACACAATTGCTGCCCCCTGTTTCTTGTCTCATTAATAATCTATGGTTTCAACTTGCATATTGCTGTCTTTAAATGCCATGTATTGTGTTACACATCTTTCTTAGCACACTACAACAATGATATACAATAGCTATATTAAAAGAGTTGTACAGTAATTTGAAGTTTTCTTTCAGGACTTCTGATTCATAAATACCGGTATAATATAGCTTGTAAATGTTGTTCATTTCCACAGAGTTGTCAATCTGCAGTCTATGCAAATCCCATGAAGAAAAACAGATGCTTTTACGTAACAGATATTTATATATTCGGGGTGTTTTGTATGTAATTTAAAGTATTTTACTGTGCAAGTACAAAATATTACCACAAAATACACGTTGCTTGGAACTTGCATTCAGACCACAGAGAGAACAAAATTACACCTGTATTCACATGGGGAACATACAGCATGTTTCCCAGATAAAATCAACTACAGAATCTACACAATAGATCGTAGGCAGAGGCTGAGAGAAACTTTATGCCGTCACACTTCCTGGTACCTGGACAATGCATCACCAGAAAGTTACCTCCGCAGTGGTTAACGTACCAGATTATATGTCCCCCCCTGAATATAATATGATACAAGACTGCAGAATCAGAAGGATATACATAAATATTCATACTTTCAAATGTTATCAACTGCTTTAAAAAAACAAACTATAAGCTACACTTACTGTGCAATATTAACAACGGAATTCTTCTTCACCATTAACAAACCCACGCCAATATCTACCGCCATTACAACTCTAGACTGCTTGCATGCTGTCACAACAGATGTCACTGCGAACTGAGCGCGCTCAATTCAAATCGTTTGAAAGATAACGTAGCCTGTTTCACCCACTTCCTCTAATACTCCTGAAATCTTCTCGGAACAAACGACGAGACTGTGTAACAGGTATCATAAGCACAGTCATGTCACAATATGCCTTTAATACACAAGCACAATTACAACAAATCATAAACTAAACCACACAACTCGCACAAGGACAGTGTTTATTACAACCAATGAGGTGCCTACACCGCAAATGGCTGTGTCCTTGGCGACCTAACCAGTTCCTGACCCTACGACTTTAAATCAATGCCTTTAAATGTTTCCATACATAGGCCAATGCGTATACATTGCGTAATTATGATATGCAAATTTACAAGCTGCTGTATTTATTTACATTGTTCCGTGGCATTAAGTACATTCTCACTTGAGCGATGAAAACGGTAGGCTGTCAGCACGAGCTTGCTGAGACCTGAAATGAATAACTGTAAAAGCCGTTCATGTAAGATTGGAAACTGCGGTGAAATATTGATAACATTAATTTCTCTATCCAACTGGCCATTTCAACTTTGGCTACTTCAAACACATGCAGACTATAGTTTCCCATCGCATGGAATTTCCTTTGTTTCTAACTCACGTAATAGAAATGAGTGATCTACGTTCTACATCACGGTTCGAACCAAAGGGACGTGCATTTATAATATTTAGTCCTATCCGTTTTCAGTATGTCACATCGCTTCTAACACTGCCATCCCCTTTAAGCGATTACAATTCACTTTTCTTGAAACACCTGTCATAGACAGCGACTCCTCTGCCATCCGACAAGCAAGATACTTTAAAGGATGAGAAATAGAAACTTCTTACAGATGGCAATGAACAAATTTCTTATCTATATAGAAACTACATTGAAAGTCCAGGAGCCAGGATAGACGCTTATAAAATGTTGAAAACCTACAAGCCATCATGAAAATTTTTGGATCCTGTGCTCGGTTTATATGCAGGCCAAATTAAGATTACAGATATTCAAGACGGTGTTAAAAGACTACAGTTGAAAAGCGAAAGCAACGCAGAACTTGGGCTGCATGGAATACAGTAAAATGTCCCTAACTCTACATGAGATTTTGATTCCTCAGTCTGTTGTTAGGGTGGCAACACTAAACCAATCCCCAGACAGAAGCTACACCTGAAGGAAATAATTAAGATAAAGTGTTGTTTCTGTCTGCTTCGACAGCCGGATATTTGTGAGAAGAGAATTCCTATCTTTAATGCAATGCAGGGTAGGAAAAGTTTTATTTAAACATCAGAATGCAGACATTACCTTATCCAAGCGGCAATGACTGGGAGCAGTCACATTTATTGTAAGACGGAGTTTTTATTCTTGGATGAGGCATTAATGTGCCCATTAACTAAGTAACTGGATGGCTTACGGAACCAGAAGTTTCATCATCAAACTAACCAAAGCCATCCACCGGACCCTGCCTGGGTCAACAAAATCCTGTCTCCTTCAACTCCTATCTCCCAAAGATCCGCCTCAGATTATCCTCCCATCTACGTTTAGGTCTTCCCAGCAGTCTCTTCCCTCAGGCTTTCCAATCAATACCCGGTGCACACCTTTTGTCCCATCCATGCGTGCTAATGCCCCGCCAATCTCATTCATCTCGACTTAATCACCTTGACAATATTGGGGGAGGAGTACAGATTTTTAAGCTCGTCATCATGCAGTTTTCTCCATGCCCCATCGTCTTCCCTCTTAGGCCCAAATATCCTCCTCAACACCCGATTCTCAAACACCTGCAATCTGAGTTCCTCCCTCAGAGTGAGAGACCATGTTTCGCACCCATACAAAACAACAGGAAAAATATGGTTTTCTATATTTTAATCTTTAGGTTCATTGAAATCAGACAAAATATTTTGAACTGAGATCACTGTAGCTTCCCTTTATGATTTTAAAAAGAATGAGGCCTTTCTCATCTTCGTATATTTGTTAAAATTAATCATCAAGCAGAAATTTCTGCACAATGACCAATGTCTTAATCCATGATTTTCTAAAAAGCTGATCGCTGATACACCTACAATGGAAGGTGATGGTCGATGGAAGTAATAAGACACAGAGAAATTTTTCTGAATTATTGAGATATTGTAATAAGTAAAGTGAGCTGTAGTAAGAACGTAATGTACAATCAGTTTAAATAACACTTGCAATATCACACACTGGACCTGCATTCTTAAGAATTAATATCCTCCCACCTTCCTGTATTTGTAGAAAGATTAATTACCTACAGGAACTCCTGGGTCTTTGCAGTCAGTCCTGTCTGTCATCAATCAAAGTAAGTCTGCGTCGTTTCTGCACATCAGTGTTACTGCTTATTTCTTCATCCAAAGGTCGTTTATTAATGTCCATTGAATTAGACACTTTGCTGGAATCTGAAGTCTTTTGTGCTCTGGCTACAATCGCTTCATTTTCAGAATCAGAATCCGATACAATACTCCTGAGTTTATTCTTTATAATTCTATTTGAACTGCCATGTGTTTCACTCCTTTTTGTGCCAGAAATGTCATCTTTCTGAAATAGCGAGCCAAGGCTTACTTCTTCTGGTTGAGAATCAGAGTCAAATATGACATTTCTTACTTTATTTCTGGCAAGTCCACTGGAGAAGCTGCTTTCTGGATCTGGATATTCACCTGTGTTCTTTCTCACATATCCTCCAAGATTTAGATTATGAGATTCAGAATTGTTATACTTTTTTGTATTATGTCCCTTCTTTTTCAATGTGTGACTGTTTGAAATGTCTGACCCTCTAGAGGATGTACTATTTGAAGTGTTCAGGTTCCCATCGGTGTCATTATGCCGACCATTTTTGGTATTCTCCACAAGTCTCTCACCTAAAAATTAAAGCAAGAATGAGAATTAGGCATAATTTTTAAAATTTATTCTACATAAATATGGAATTCAAACTCCAACATTACAAGACTGCCACCTGGACTAACTCTGGGGTTAATAGTTTAGTGACAAAGTATTGCGACATGGGGCTAGTTAGACTGTGCGTAAGCTGTAACACAAATCTATGAAGGTTAATACAAATATTATTATTATTTATCAATGATCCAAGGAGGCAGACACCCCTTTTTAATCCCTAAAAGCACCCATCCAATGATATCCACATACAAGCAAGAAGTGTACACCACAGTCACAAATGGAAGTAATGTTGCGATTAGAGATGTACAGTCAGAATTACAAAATGGACAGGGAACGTGAGACCCTATCCACGGCAAAGAAGTACTATGTGACTTGGCAGGAATTACTAGCCATTTAAAGACACTAGGACACTTCCAGATGACCAAGTACCTGGAGGTATAAACCATCCATTACTAAAAAGGATCAACAGTGGCAGATTCCCTAGTGACAAACCACTGTCGCTTCGGGGTACTAAGAGAGCTGTACAACAACTAGGGCTGGAACATAGAGTCTCAGTTAATGGAAGGGGCGCTGAAGCGCCTGTGGATAAGAAAACCATAAACCACCTCCTTCACCTGCAGGCAAATGACTTGGTACAAATGTGAAGATGGTTAAGCAAATAAGAAAGGTCGTTTCAACGAACCAGATTGGACTAGGATTTTTCCTCTAGCCTCTGCATCCAGACCGGCTCTGGGGCCCACCCAGCCTCCTCTACAATGGGTACCGGGGTCCTTTCCTGGGGGTAAAGCCGTCCGGGGCGTGATGCTGACCACTCACCCCCATCTAGTGCCGAGGTCAAGGAAGAGAGGAGCTAAACCTCCGCTCACCCCAAACGCCTACATGGCGTATAGTAAGACAAACTTTACTTTTAGTTTTTACTGAAGTCATGTATTGTCTACTTATGACGACTGTTAATGACAAACTAAAAGGGATGTGAGATGAAGAAGCTGTGTCCTGAAGATGGCTGTCTTCTGTGATCTCTGGTGATGGAGTTAGTAAGCTCCTCAGAACACTACGTCAATTTCTTCCAGACTAAAAGGCAGAAGTCCCAGAAGGCAGCCAGCTTCATACTTGTCACTATGAATACCCGAAACCTCTCCCGCTCGTGTCCTGTTGCAACATTCGCTTCAACTGAGGAAAACATGAATAAAGGTAGCAGCTGATTCCTGACCAGGACATGATATCTCACTGAATTTTACCTTGTTAGTATCCACAGAGCAGATACAGTGAAACCTCTATCCATTGTTCCCGGATGCATCGTCCGTTTTGTTCGGTCCCGAATACATCCCATATAAAATAATGTTACATTTTCCCGCTTCTATCGTTCCTCGAACTATCGTTTTATCGCATCGATCGTTCAAAAATCGTAGTCCCGGCCCACAATTTTCCCGCAATGATCGTTTCTGAGAAATTGTAACGAAATTTACGTGATATTTTTAGAATTTAATTCCGAAAGCGAAACTTTTTCATTCTTCTGGTTCATATCGTGTCTTCTACAGCTACGTTTCGTTGAGTTCGGCAGTAATAGTACTTCCATTTTTCCTGTTATAGTCCGCGAAGGTTGAGGGAGCGGTGAGGAAGAGGGAGAAACGACGAATGCGAGCCCGAACTTTGCCGAGTTTTGCCGAAGCACACCGCCAGATGGCAAAAGTGAAGTCGTTCTTTTATGCGCATAATATTAGTGAACGTGACGAGGAAAACATTTTGAACGTGGAAAGTGCTCTGTTTGGTCTAAAACGTAAAGTTTCGACAAACCAGTTGTCCATTAAAGACTTTTTTGGTAAAAAGAAGTAACTTTGAAAGAGAAACATTGTTTTTTTAATGCTTTCCCGCATTCATCGTTTTTATTTCCCACCCCCGCCGAAAACGATGCATCGAGGTTTCACTGTATTCAAGTTCTTCTGCATTTATTGTTTACTCTGAATTATATGAATTGATGTAATGCTACTCACCATTATCTTGGGCTACTAAGCTACCATCCATAGCTTGATTAACGACAGCTAGCATCTTCCTCAGATCTTGAGATGTAAGATTTCCTGGAATACGCCAATACATCTCCTAGAAAGAAGAAAATAGAAATATATGATAGAAACCCATGAAGCAGAAGACAGCCATCTTCGCATTCACCATGATAAGAACCTCAAATCCTCATGAAGCAGAGAGCTTCAGACGATGATCGTTACTCAGATACAAGAAATACTCTGCCCTTTAGAGAACATTACATTGTCAAATTGAGGTTGTCTCCAAAAGAGGTAGATGTGAATTGTGCAAAAGTCAAAATAAAATGTAGGAGGCTGCAATCAAGGTGGACACTGCAAAGATTTCCTTTGCATTAATGAAAAGAGGAACTTCTTTTTTGAGTTTTGTCATGCATAAAAATGTTCTAGTTTAACAAATATTTTCTTTGTATTATTGCTATTGTAACTGTGTGTGTTGTACCCCACAACAGAAAGTTCACATTTTTTCATATCTAACAAAAGAGAATGTTGATGTATATCAGGGAAGCATGTAAAATAAAGTTATGAATACTTAAGTATTCTCTGAAAAAGTATTTGTATGTTTCAAAAGAGGTGCAGAATGGCCCGTCATGACCTGTACGTCCCATTAACAATAAATATTGTTAATAAACGATGTAAAGGTATTTATTTGTTTTTGTGTTAAAAGAAGCATTCCTTTCCTAAAAAGAGGGTATAACTTAATAGCATGGTACTTAGAACAAATGTCCGAGCGTAATGTTCAATTAACATTTCCATGCTCTGCAAGAGACCCCTCTTGTCTGGATTTATTTGGTGTTTAAGAAGATAAGTGTGTCCTGACATCTCTCAACAGTTCACCAAGTATTTGTGGCTTTTCAACAACAGAAGTATCTTTAACATTTTTTTTATTCAGTGTTCTGTCTGACGACAGGTCCATATGAACAGGATCCTTCCATCCTTTTCTCGGACTGGGACCTGTTCATATACGTTCTTGGCAGATGATCCAGAAGGTGTTTGCCATTGCCTTCTTCTGTGTGAGTGTGAATGGAGTAATTGTTGGGATGCCAATGAGGAAAACTCCGTGTTGCCTAGGCCACGGCCTTGCCCAACACAAGTTATAAATTCGGGCAAAATAACTAAAAAATTCTTCGCCATTTGACATTGATTCAAGAATAACAGGATCCATTAGCCTTAAAGTGTTTTTATTTTTATTTAATTAAACACGATAATGATCTTATTCGTAAGAAGTAAGTTAAACCGAATGTTCTCCCTGTAGGATACGAAAGATCTACTTTAACATATATCGCACAAAAACAGGGGATTTAAACCCCATACTGTGGTCGTGTCTGCTGGACTTTAACTCTGTGGTATGCTATAGTGATGCATGAGGCAACGGGAATAATACGGGTGAAATAAAATCTGGCACAGAAAGGGCTGAAAAGACATCTTCCTGTCTTAAATGTTTCAAATAAATGAATGAAGATTTCAAGCCTACAAGCAAAATTAGTTCTCCATAACCTCACCTGTTCGTTTGAAGGAGGGACTAAGTCAAGGGCAGTCAGCAGTTTGAGAAACTGTGGTTGTTCCATGGCAGCCAACTCCTCACCAAGGGGCACCAAAGGCACAGGCTCCTCATTACCGTCTGCCTCCCTGTCAACAGCCACCTCTTCCAGTGATGACGACACCCAGCAAACAGCCTCTGTCATTCCTGCAAGTCAAGTATTGCATTATCATCTCATATTAATAATATATGAAGCTAATGTTTATCAGCGGCACAGCTCGTAATATCATCAATATATTATGATGTTCAGACAAATGGGAAAAACCATACTAACCATCCTATTGACGGTAATTACAGAGTCCCACATGAAATTGATACTTGCAACACTTCATTTTCTTGAGGATAGTGCACAGATAAAACACTGCCAACATGAACATGGAAAAAACTGTCTTGGAGGAAGTTCATAAGAAACAGTGGCAGCTAACCCTTAAGACAGAAGTAGCGGAGGGTTCTCAGAATACCATATTGCCACAGCATCATGCCATTTCGAAACTGAAGAAGATGGTGACAAGGAGTTGACATACGAGGACGAAATTTTGAATATGGAGTTCCAGGTTTAACTGCCAGTGAAGAGTGGATCTATGGTAAGAAAGCACTTCATTATGGATGTTGCAGCTATGGACATACACGTTGCATCAGTGTTGTAACACTGTTAGATGCCCACTTATACTGATGATGAAGAAGATGAAGAATAACGAGAAGGAGAAGAAAGCAAAGAAGAAGGATGAGGAAGAGGAGAAGGAAGGAGGATAAGAAGAAGAAATAGCAGGAGGAGGAGGAGAAGAAAGACAATGAGCTTTAACTGATCTAAATAAAGGATCATAATTATCTGAGCTGATTATAGATGAAAATGATGAGACGATATTGGCAAAGTCAGCCTCAGATGTAAGACTGGCACTGCCAATAGAGATGCCAGGTATGGAGGTCCAGTTACTTGTTACACATGTGCTCACCACACACACACAAACTTTCCAAAAGCAGAATTTCATATTATACATTTTTTTTTATTATTAGTGTTCTGTCTGACGACAGGTCCGTTTCCTCGGTAAATGATCCAGAAGTGGTTTGCCATTGCCTTCTTCTGTGTGTGAATGGAGTAATTGTTGGGATGCCAC